CCTCTGGCGAAGGCTAAGGCAAGGCGCGCAGCTGGCGGCTCCCGCTGAGCCGCAACTCCAGGTCCCTCAAGCCGCCGAGCTCGCCCAAGCCGCTCAGCGACGAGCAGCTGCTGACTTTGGAGACGCTGCCTCGGGGGTCTAAGCGGCGTAGATGGTGCCAGTGCCGCAGATCTGATCGGAAACCCAGGAGGTCTGCTTATGTAAGGCTTATGATTCATGAAAGTTCGCAAGCCTGGGAGGAATTCCAAGGAGTTTTTTTTTGGGGGGGGAGGGCTTGATTGCCAGGTCGTAATCTTTGGCCAAATCAGATGGATAACTTCCTCGGGTGAATGCTGCGCTTGTTTCTTTTGATCGTAGCTTAACCCCCGTTTGCCAAAGTTGCCGATTGTGGTGCTTGTCTTTTGGAACATGTTTCTGCATTTATTGGTTGATGGCTTCCCTCCCTCCCTCCCTCCCCTCACTCCCTCCCTCCCTTCTTTTCTTCCTTCCTTCCTTCCTTCCTTCCTTCCTTCCTTCCTTCCTTCCTTCCTCCCTTCTTCTTCTCTCCCTCCCTCCCTTCTTCTTCCTCCCTCCCTCCCTTCCTTCCTCCCTTCCTTCCTTCCTTCCTTCTGCTTGAGCGCCGGCCTTCGCACGGCTTTGCCCCCCGCCCCGGGCTTCCAAGCCCGGCTTGGCCCCCCCGCCATTGGCGTAGAGGCTGCGCCAGCCCAGGTCCAGGCGCAAGCGCCGCAACGGCATGGAGACGAGGTACGGCAGCAGCTCCAGCAGGAAGCCCTCGGGGTCCTGAGCGCCCAAAGGAAACCCAGGGAAGTGATTAATACTTTTAGGTCCGCCGGTAGAGAGATTAGAATAAGTTGGTGCCAACTTGTTTCCTGAATTGTCTATTTTAGTAGGGGAACCCTCCCCCAAAGAAGGGTAAAAGGGCACTACTGGGGGACCTAGACTTGGTTGCTTTCTGCTTCATTCGGAAAACACATTAGTTGGCAAGAAGTTAAAGTCCTAACATCCCTTGGCAAAATGCAACAAAGCAAAAGGGGGCAGAGTGCGTCAGGCAAGTGGTGAGCAAGCCTAGTGAAAAAACCCACTTAGACTTAGAACCATGGTATAACCTGCCTTACTAACCACTTACCTCATTTCCTTGACCCCCCTAGAAAGAATCATAATGTTTCATATGTCTATAACCTTGCCCTCGGACCCCCTGCTAAAACTGAATAACTTTTAGTGGGTTAAATGGAAAGTACTACTCAACCCCAAAAGTGGTTGGTAAGCCTAGTGAAATATCCCACTTAGAATTGGAACAATGCTACGTGGGTTGCCAGGTCCTCCAGTAGAGAGGTTAGAATAAGGGTACCAACTTTTTTCTGCAGGCTCTTTAAATAGGGGAACCCTCCCAAGAAAAAAAGGGGGACCTTATAGCCTGCCTTGCTAACCATTTCCCTGACGTACTCTGCCCAATAGAGACTCATCCATTTCCTTGACCCCCCCCTCCCGGAAAAAAAGAAAAGAAAAGAAAAACAACATAATCTTCAATATGTCTATAGCCCACAGGCGAAACTGGGAAACAGAGCTTCATATGTCTACAGCCAACAGGGCCCCCTGGAGAAAAAAACGATAAGATTTTATATGTCTAGAACCAACAAACAAAGAAACAACAAAAAACAATGTTAATCACCAAACACTATCTGGCCCCCTTCCAACAAATGGTGGGTGTCATTTTGGCTTCCCTTAAACCCAGCATAAATCTAGAAAACGGTTTGGATGCGCTTTTTGTGGACTTCGCTTGTTCTTTGCTTTTGTAGTATTTTTCCCCACCTGACTGGAAGGGGTTGTTAGATTTTATGTCGGAATGCGCCCAGTATCCCGCCAGAGCTGCTCGCCAGTGGATCCCGCCAAGTATCCCGCCAGAGCTGCTCGCCAGTGGATCCCGCCGAGCATCCCGCCAGAGCGGCTCGCCAGTGGATCCCGCCGAGTATCCCGCCAGAGCGGCTCGCCAGTGGATCCCCGCCGAGTATCCCGCTGAGTGTTGCAGAGTAGCTCGCCAGTGGATCGCGCCAAGTATTATCCCTTGCCGGTGGATCTTGCCGAGTATCCGGTCAGTATCGCGGCTCGCCAGTATTCGCCAGTGGGTCCCGCCAGCATCCCGCCAGAGCAGCTCGCCAGTCTGGTTTTGCTTAATGTCCCGCCCGGCGCACAGTCGTGTGTTGAGTGTGCCCTGAGGCTCGGAAAGGGTGATGCTTTTGTGTTGCTTTGGGCTGCGAATAAGCAACTTCGTTTAATCCCCCGTCGGGTTTCTTTTTGGAAGGGGTTTGGCTTTTGTTAGCGGAACCGATGTTTGAGTTCTCGAGATGCAGACAAGTGGAGTTTGACACACACACAAACAGGTGGATAAGGCTCTCAATGCAAAGCTTGTTGAGCAGTCATAGGCCCCAAGCCACTCAAAAACCATGCTTGAATTCACACAACCGTGTTCACGGTCGTAAGCTCATGAGTGTGGAGGGTGGGGATTGCTCGAAGCGAAGTAATTTAATACTCTTTCAGCATTCAACAGGGGTGAATCCACAAAGCCACATCCAAACGGGTTTCTAGAATATATTCATGTATTCCCTTCCTGCTACACGAAGAACCTACAGAAAAGAGCAACAACCTGGTTTTTTGCCCCTGCCACTCGTCAACAACCAGGATGATTTCGATTGAAGTTTCTGCGTTTGCTTGCTGAAAGCCATACAAAAACCGTACAAAACACGTATGACATAGTACAAAACCCGTATTTTTCCTACGCTTGTTGAAAAACCAGGTTGGTTATGTTTTGGAACCCGCTTTTTTGTAGGATTTTGGGGTGGCAGGTTGCATGGACAAGCACGGTTGTTACAGAGACAACTCTTGGGTGTACCAAAAACCACACGCTTTGGAGTAGATGGGTAGAACATGATAACTCATGCCGGCTTTGCATTTCATTTTTCCTTCGGGGGGGACTCTATTTTTTTTAAGTGACTTCGGAACCCATCAAACGCAAGTTAATTTGAGGGCGCCACTGGAGCATGTGTAGGTGCAGGTTTGATCAGAGGCCACGCTTGCGGTAAAATACGTGGCACGCCCCCGAGGCGGAACAAGTTGTGAAATCCCAAGACCAATGCAACGCATGTTTTGCCAACCCCGACGTATTTCGCAAAGCGTAAACTCGGCACCTGCGATTGTGAACCATTCAGTCACCCCTGATGAACAAGTGAAAACCCCGGCCTTGGCCCAAAATCCGCCCCCTTCCAATCAGACTTGGTTTCCCTCCAGAAGTTGGTAATTTTACTGGTAGCTTCCATCAAAACGATCGCCACTCCTGGAGGCAACAAGGGAATTGAGGGACTGCCCCAACCCTCCACCCCCCAACCCCCTCCCAACCCCCTCCCAACCCCCTCCCAACCCCCTCCCAACCCCCACCCCCGCCACCCCCGCCCCGTTTTCCCATCGCCTCAAGGACATGCGCCAAGCACGGAAGCCACAAGTCCTAGCCGCAGCCATCTCGCCCGATCTCTTTCAACCCAATGGACCATTCGCCGCAACACAAACCTGAAAAAACACAAACAAGCCTCATGCGCTGCGCCGGCAAGGTGTCAAGTATTGTCATGGCGCATTCTTGCCGAAGCTGTCTCACACTTGGCATCAAAGTGTGCCATTGGCATTCCGCAACTCAAGCAGAAAAGGTCACATGGTCCCGGGCTATGAACGCTCCGTTGCTGCACTCCTGCTGCAAGGTGTTGCCGGCAATGGTGGCCAAAAATGGGGCAACCGGAAGCTGCCTGCGACAGAAACTCATGATTGCGCCAATTGCCACAGAAAGGCGACAAGAAGTTGCCAACTTAAAGCAGGGACAGCGTTCTTTGCTGAAGAAGGGGTGGAAGGACAAATCCTGAACGCAATCAGTCTAAAGCAACGTGGCGAATGACGAACGGATGTTTGCGACCAACCATTGGGGCAATGCCACCGATTGCCCTCTTCAAGCTAGGGAATATCCAAACTGGTTTCCACCAACCCCAAGACCTTGGTATGGTATGCAGCAGTTGTACGCCCCTTTCCCTTTGGGGGGATTGCTGGCTGGGGGCAGGGATATTTTTAGAATGCAGCCATTGCTGGTAGGTGAGGTCAGGTTTTTTTCTTGGGGTGGCGCCTGCGATCGGCTCTCTCTTCCCGGTGAAAACCTGCTGCGAGCATGCAACACAAGAAGTGGAATTCTGTTGTGTCGGGTTGGGCGTGAAACTGGGGATCTAGAAAAAAACAGTTAAAAAACCATTGCCCATTCCCGTTGGGTACAAGAAGTCATGGGCTATTGAACGCGCCCACTCGCTCGAGAGGCGGTATGCTAAACCACGGCCACTGCTCTTCTTCGCCGATCGCATTCCTACGGCCAACGATCTCAAGGTGAGCTTCGGAACGACATACGGAAGTGCTTGCTTTGAGGGTGCCATTTTGGGGGCTGGTGTAAAGGGGAAGCCAAACGGAAACCACCATGTTGGGGGATTCGACGATTTGTTTAAACAAAACACACCCATAAAGAAACGCAGGTCTTCCGCAAAGGCAGCTGAGAAATGACCAACACCCTCATTGGACCAACCAGGTTTCTTAATACCGAGCACATCCCAGCATGACAAGTTAGAAGCCAACAAACAAATCTTGGGCTGAGACTTGGGATGCAAAAACACGCCAACCATGGCCATCCTGTGGCAAGTGTCCAGCCATGCGCCATAAGGGTCCCCAGCGTCTCCTTCTTTGGTTTGGCGCAAAGAGGCGTGTCAACGAGGAAACATGCTCACCAACTTCTCCCGAACTCGGCTGGAATTAGGACCCCAGCATTTGTTTGCCTGGTTAGTGGAAAACAAAGGGACCCCAAAAAAGCAAAAAAAGAAAAGAAAAAGGGGAGCTAATTCCGGGAAGCGAAATGGACTTTCTCCAGCGCCTGTGCAGCACTTGAACCAGGGCAGTGCGCGCAAAGAAGCTCCGCAAGTGCTGGTTCAGCACTTCTTCCGCCGGCCTCTGCTTGCTTTTTGTGAGCAGCTGGACCGCCAACAAACCGTTCCGTGGGCGCAAACGTAAAACTCCGATTCGCCGATCAGAATGGATTTCGGGAGGTTTCGATGGCAGTTGTTAATCTTGGCGAAGGGACATGCTGCTCGTACAGTCGTTCTCCAGCTCTCCCCAAAACCTATACCCCTGCTAAGTACGCGCCATCCTTTACAAATCTGCGGAAGGGGGGGGGGGCGGGTTGGCTAGTTCAGTGCAGTGGACCTAACCCATAGCCATTGCAGACAGAGATGGGTTCACCACCGGCCACATCCAAGAACGACCTTAAATGACCCAAGTGAGGCCCATGGTCGTTGGGTGCTGCCACTTCCGTCTCCAAAAGCGCAAGCGCAAGATCTGAGCTCGGCGCAGTTCCTGGGCGGGGCACAGCTTGCTGAGGGCGGCCAGCACCAAACTCCTTGCAAGGCTTCCAGGCTTCTGCTTGAGATTAACCGAAAGGGAAAGCCAACGGTTGGCTGTTCGACGTCTTCGACGTCTTCAACGTGTTCGAAGTGTAGAGCAAGTAGAATACCTACACTTCACATTATGCCCTCATCACCCCATTTGCTTGCCGCTTGCAGTCGCTGGGGTTCCTGACCACCCCGTTTCCGTAACAATCCCGGATTCATCAACCTGCCAAATCAACTGGGTGTTCCCCCCAGAAGTAAGAAAGCCGATTCCCTCTGGAATGGGACGGCCATGCATCGACCAGGAGTTGACACTCCAACTGGGTTCTTTCTACAATTGATTCAGAGCCACAGCAAGAGCCGCCAAAAAAACCTCGATTCTTCAATCGCCCAAATGGCGCCAAAAGTCCCCCCTCTTCGGCTTGAAAAAAAAAGATCCAAGTACAGGCCCTGGCCGTACACCTCCATTTGCTTAAGTCCCCTGGAAAAAATCCAGTAGTGAAATCGATTCCCTTCAAAACCAACCGGGGAAAATAAAAAATAGTCTTACCTAAATGGAAGTACATCATCTCGCTGGAAAAGCGCACCGGTTCCTTCCACCGGAGGCCTCGCACCGGGAGAAGTCCACTGAGAGCCCAGCGCTGAGCACCTGCTTCGTTGGATCGCAGCCCTCCCAACCACTGTCTGCTTAGTAAGGAAGGTCCTCCAGTAGAGAGGTGAGAATAAGTTAAATGTGAGTACTTCCGATAGTCACAGATTCCCTTTGAAACCAAAAGGGGAAAATAACACAAACACATTCCAGGTTCTCCACATTCGAGAGGCTAGAAGAAGGGTGCCAACTTTTTTCTGCAGTCTCCTTTAGTAGGGGAACCCTCCCCAACAAAAGAACCGGTAAAAGGGCACTACTTGGGGACCTAGTAATGAATGACCTAGGATTTCGGGAACGCACCCAGTCCCCTCAAAGGAAGCCACAAGAAATCAATCGTGGGAGTGGACGATCAGGGGCCTTTTTACCAAGAGGAAAAATAGGAACTTTGTCGTCCAACAGAAACTCGGTTGCTTGGTGCTCCCCTGCAAATAATTTAACTTAGTGGTTTAATGGAAAGCCCATTAGTTGGCAGAAAGTTAAAGTCCAAACATCCAAGCAAAATGCACCAAGAAATGTCGTCTTTTCAGCCAATGCAGGCCGCAAAAGGGCAGCAACTCTTCCATGATCGCTGGAGGGAGAGCCATTGTGTTTTGGTGATAGACTCCCTTTTAAACCCACAGGGGAAAATGAAAAATCGTCTTTTTGAAGCAACTGGAAGCCGAAAAAGAGCAGCAACTCTTAACAAGAAAAACATGTTTGTCTTTTGTTTGTTTGTTTTTTTTTCCCCCAAAAAAAAGGCCCCAAAAGGCCTCCAACGGGAAGCTGCTCTCCCGGTCCGTCTTGGCGATGTGGCCCATGCCCGGGTGCTTCGCCTCCCACTCCTGCACAGAGCTGGATGTGCGCACACAAAAGGGGGTACCTTGCTGGTGCAATAGCTAGGGAATGTGGTTGAATGAACCCAGGGGTCTGTTGAGGGGTTTCCCCTGGATTTTTTCTTGTCAACTCTAGCGCAATCCAAAAATGAAACCTGGTGTGCATGAAACTCTTGAGCAAGACGCATGCAAAGCTCGGAATTTGTGTACCCTGTTTGTCCTCAACAGAGACCTTGGCGGATCCCAGTCTCACGTCTCCTGTTCCGCATCTGTCAGCCCATCTGTGAGCACCACTGCAAGCCCACGCGCGTCTTGCCTCCTCAGCACAGCACACAATCACTCGGCTCAAAACGATCCCACGCGGTCCCACCTCCGATGCTTGATGCAGCGTATGTCTATACATGCGTCCTTGTGGCACCATTGGAAAGTTGAGCAGATTGCAGTTGAGAGGTCACTCATGGTAATTCTTGGAATATGCATCCATACAGCCCAAAAACATGCTTTGGTTCTGCGTGTGATTCCCTTGCCGTTCTTTTCACCAGGTAGTTGAGTCTTTGGGCAGATTCCCAGATCAATGGATCCCTGCAAAGAATTGGGAAGCATCTCAGGGCTGTCATGAGTCCTTTGGCCGTGAATTCCCCTCCTCTCCAACGGTTGGGGCTTCACCAGCCCGATCAGCACACCATTTCCCTCCCAAAAGGAAGGGATGAGGAATGCTTCTTTACTGAGGGCACCCCCGCCCTCCATCTCACTTGCCGAGTGGATGGCCCAAAAAAAGTCCAAACTTTATATAGTATCGGGCTAGCAGTTAGAATATATTTTTTAGAGAAACACACTTCAAAAGTCTATCAAAAAAATGAGTTAGAATAAATAGGAAAAAGTCAGTTAGAATAAACAAAAAATGAAGATAGAATATTTCAACCAAAAAGAAGACAACAGATAGAATATTTCAAAATAAGAAAACAACAGATAGAATATTTCAAAATAGGGGTTTCTGCTATGAACAACTACTCTGCGAGAAATGTCCTAGCTGCTAGCCCGTTGCTAGATGTTTATATATATATACGGCTTTCAGCAAACCATGTGGGTCCCATGATTTTCCATTTGGGTCCGTCTCTCTTTCAAGGGTATATGCAAAACCAAACGGAAACCAACCGTTTTGAGGGGTCCCCTCAAAGAAAGACACACGCATTTGCCAAAGGAATGCATGATGCATGGCTTCTCCATTTTTTCGGAGCTCAAATGCTCGGCCCGACAGGCCATGCCCCTCTCCCACAGACAGATAGAATATTTCAAAATAAGGGTTTCTGCTATGAACAACTACTCTGCGATAAATGTCCTAGCTGCTAGCCTGTTGCTAGATGTTTCTATGTACGGCTTTCAGCAAACCATGTGGCTGTGGGTCCCATGATTTTCCATTTGGGTCCGTCTCTCTTTCAAGGGTATATGCAAAACCAAACGGAAACCAACCGTTTTGAGGGGTCCCCCTAAGAAAGACACACGCGTTTACTTTTTCGGAGCTCAAATGCTCAGCCCGACGGGCCATGCCCCTCTCCCAAAAACAGATAGAATATTTCATATACTGCAAATTCTCCAGAGACTCAAACGGTACCGAGCCCAAAATATTCATGAACACCTTTTGGGGGGGGGCACATAGAATACTTGCTTTTGCAAACCTTCATCAGGTGATTCATCGTATGCATAAATTACTAAATATAGAGATAGTAAATATTGGATTGCTTATTTTTGAGGGTACCCCAGTATATTCCAACAAGTGGCCTTCCTTTCCCTTTAACCCAACCACAAACGGCACCGAGCCCAAAATATGCATGAACACCATGGGGGCGCACAGTTAGAATACTCGTTCTTGGCAAAACTTCATCAGGTGATGAATCGTAGGCATAATGAAAGATTTCGAGATAGTAAATATTGTTTTGCTTACTCTTTGAGGGTCCAAAATCGTGGCCTTCCTTTCCCTTTAGCCCAACCCCAAACGGTACCGAGCCCAAAATACAAATGAACACCATGGTACTTGTTTTTGGCAAAACTTCATCAGGTGATGAATCGTAGGCATAATGAAAGATATAGAGATAGTAAATATTGATTTGGTTATTCTTTGAGGGTCCAAAAGCGTGGCCTTCCTTTCCCTTTAGCCCAACCCCAAACGATACCGAGCCGAAGCTATACATAAACACCATGGGGAGGCACAGATAGAATATGTGTTTTGGGCCAAAAAACCTTCATCAGGCCACACTTTAATATATATATATATATATAACAGAGAGAAATAGCAAGCATTGGATGGCTAATTTTTTAAGGGCACTTCAGTACACTCCAACAAGGGGTGGCCTTCCTTTCCCTTTGACCCAACCCCAAACGGTACCGAGCCCAAAATATGCATGAACACCATGGGGTGGCACAGGTTAGAATATGTGTGTTTGGCAAAACTTCATCAGGTGATGAATCGTAGGCATAATGAAAGATATAGAAATAGTAAATATTGTTTTGCTTATTCTTTGAGGGTCCAAAAGCGTGGCCTTCCTTTCCCTTTAGCCCAACCCCAAACGGTACCGACAAAATACAAATGAACACCATGGGGTGGCACTGTTAGAATATTTGTGTTTGGCAAAACTTCATCAGGTGATGAATCGTAGGGATAATGAAAGATATAGAGATAGTAAATATTGTTTTGCTTATTCTTTGAGGGTCCAAAAGCGTGGCCTTCCTTTCCCTTTAGCCCAAACGGTACCGAGCCCAAAATATGCATGAACACCATGGGGGCGCACAGTTAGAATACTTGTTTTTGGCAAAACTTCATCAGGTGCTGAATCGTAGGCATAATGAAAGATTTCGAGATAGTAAATATTGATTTGGTTATTCTTTGAGGGTCCAAAAGCGTGGCCTTCCTTTCCCTTTGACCCAACCCCAAACGGTACCGAGCCCAAAATACAAATGAACACCATGGTACTTGTTTTTGGCAACACTTCATCAGGTGATGAATCGTAGGCATAATGAAAGATATAGAGATAGTAGATATTGATTTGGTTATTCTTTGAGGGTCCAAAAGCGTGGCCTTCCTTTCCCTTTAGCCCAACCCCAAACGATACCGAGCCGAAGCTATACATAAACACCAGGGGGAGGCACAGATATAATATGTGTTTTTGGGCCGGAAAACCTGCATCAGGCCACACTTGAATATATATATATATATATATATATATAACAGAGAGAGATAGCAAGCATTGGATGGCTTATTTTTTAAGGGCACTTCAGTACACTCCAACAAGGGGTGGCCTTCCTTTCCCTTTGACCCAACCCCAAACGGTACCGAGCCCAAAATACAAATGAACACCATGGGGTGGCACTGTTAGAATATGTGTGTTTGGCAAAACTTCATCAGGTGATGAACCGTAGGCATCATGAAAGATATAGAGATAGTAAATATGGTTTTGCTTATTCTTTGAGGGTCCAAAAGCGTGGCCTTCCTTTCCCTTTAGCCCAACCCCAAACGGTACCGAGCCCAAAATACAAATGAACACCATGGGGTGGCACTATTAGAATATTTGTTTTTGGCAAAACTTCATCAGGTGATGAATCGTAGGCATAATGAAAGATATAGAGCTAGTAAATAGTGATTTGGTTATTCTTTGAGGGTCCAAAAGCGTGGCCTTCCTTTCCCTTTAGCCCAACCCCAAACGATACCGAGCCGAAGCTATACATAAACACCATGGGGCGGCACAGATACAGGCGGAAAACCTTCATCAGGCCACACTTTAATACATATAAAAATATAACAGAGAAAGATAGCAAGCATTGGATGGCTTATTTTTTAAGGGCACTTCAGTACACGCCAACAAGGGGTGGCCTTCCTTTCCCTTTGACGCAACCCCAAACGGTACCGAGCCCAAAATACAAATGAACACCATGGGGTGGCACAGTTAGAATATGTGTGTTTGGCAAAACTTCATCAGGTGATGAATCGTAGGCATAATGAAAGATATAGAGATAGTAAATATTGATTTGGTTATTCTTTGAGGGTCCAAAAGCGTGGCCTTCCTTTCCCTTTAGCCCAACCCCAAACGATACCGAGCCGAAGCTATACATAAACACCATGGGGAGGCACAGATAGAATATGTGTTTTTGGGCCGGAAAACCTTCATCAGGCCACACTTGAATATATATATATATATATAACAGAGAGATAGCAAGCATTGGATGGCTTATTTTTTAAGGGCACTTCAGTACACTCCAACAAGGGGTGGCCTTCCTTTCCCTTTGACCCAACCCCAAACGGTACCGAGCCCAAAATATGCATGAATACCATGGGGTGGCACAGTGAGAATATGTGTGTTAGCAAAGCTTCATCAGGTGATGAATCGTAGGCATCATGAAAGATATAGAGATAGTAAATATTGTTTTGCTTCTTCTTTGAGGGTCCAAAAGCGTGGCCTTCCTTTCCCTTTAGCCCAACCCCAAACGGTACCGAGCCCAAAATACAAATGAACACCATGGGGTGGCACTGTTAGAATATTTGTTTTTGGCAAAACTTCATCAGGTGATGAATCGTAGGCATAATGAAAGATATAGAGCTAGTAAATAGTGATTTGGTTATTCTTTGAGGGTCCAAAAGCGTGGCCTTCCTTTCCCTTTAGCCCAACCCCAAACGATACCGAAGCTATACATAAACACCATGGGGCGGCACAGATAGAGGCGGAAAACCTTCATCAGGCCACACTTTAATACATATATATAAATATATATATATAACAGAGAGAGATAGCAAGCATTGGATGGCTTATTTTTTAAGGGCACTTCAGTACATGGCCTTCCTTTCCCTTTGACCCAACCCCAAACGGTACCGAGCCCAAAATACAAATGAACACCATGGGGTGGCACAGTTAGAATATGTGTTTTTGGCAAAACTTCATCAGGTGATGAATCGTAGGCATAATGAAAGATATAGAGATAGTAAATATTGTTTTGTTTATTCTTTGAGGGTCCAAAAGCGTGGCCTTCCTGTCCCTTTAGCCCAACCCCAAACGGTACCGAGCCGAAGCTATACATTGTACACCATCGCGGGGCACAGTTAGAATAGTTGTTTTTGGGCCGGGAACCTGCATTAGGCAATTAATCGTATGCACACATAAACATATATCTATATATATATATATAATATACATACTAGATATGGATTTGCGTTTTTTGAGGGTACCCCACTATTCTCCAAAAAGGGGTGGCCTTCCTTTCCCTTTAACCCAACACCAAACGGTACCGAGCCCAAAATACAAATGACCACCATGGGGTGGCACAGCTAGAATATGTGTGTTTGGGCCAGGAAACCTTCATCATGCATTCAATCGTATGCAAATATACAAACATATACAGATTATATATAGAGAAAGTAAATATGTGTTTGCTTAGTTTTTGAGGGTACCCCACTATGTCCCAACTCGGGGTGGCATTCCTTTCCTTTTAACCCAACCCCAAACAGTACCGAGACCACATATGAATAAATGAGACAGTTCGAGTAATCCCAAATCTTGACATGCCTGTGCAAATCCTTGGAAGTGGAACAGACAAATAGAATAATCTGTGTCAGATACAAAGGCTGCGAGGTCTGGAAAATGACCTTTGAAAGGAGGTATTGGCAATACTAAGTTTAGTCCTGGCAGTCCAAAGCAAGTCGAGAAGTGTGTTATCAGAACAGGTTTATTTTGAAAATCTGCGGCCCTTGCTGAATTATTATATCTGATAAAAATACTAAATTTACTATTGGCAATACTAAAGTTAGTACTGGCAATACTAAATTGACTATTGCGGCAAAGCTACCCCCTCTTCTCGTAGCCAAAAACCTTCCAGGATACGTTTTTAAATAAAGAATTTTACAGTTCAAATCCTTGCTAAACTTTGCTAGGCTTAGCATTGGCAATCCAAAGTCTATATTGGCAATGCTAAATTCAGTACCGGCAATAGCAAGAATGTCCTGCCAATACTAAATTTACTATTGGCAATGCTAAAATTAGTACTGACAATATACATGAGTACTATTCTCAAACTAGTACTGGCAATGCACAATTAAGTACCGGCAATGCTAAAATTAGTCCTGGCTCGGAGGACCTGATTTTACCGCCCGCGTGCAACTCCAAAGTTTCTACCTTTGAGCTTTTCGTGAAAGCGTTCGAGCTTCCCCCCCCTCTAAGCTCATTTCTCACTAGCAATGCTTCATGGACATCTGAGACATCACCATCTGCTTTTATTATTCACTTCTTCTTCCTTGACCCCATGCATCTGCGCGGCTCGATGCCATCAAACGTTTCGACGCCATCAATTGGTGTGTGAAATTGCCTTGTGACCCAGCTTGCTGAAATATTCTGTCTGACCAAACATATTCTATCTGAATTATTCTAAGTGTATGCTATCTGAATTATTCTAAGTGTCACTTGTGAACCTAAATATTCTAACTGATGTTTTGGGATATTTTCGGAGTAAAATATATTCTAAGTGAGGATCGGACGGAGTAAAATATATTCTAAGTGCTAGCCCGATACTATATTTACCACTAAAATGGTCCAAACCCAAAAAGTTTAAAGTTCATGAACTCAGGAAGTGAGTAGCAAGAAAGAAGAGGGCACCACTCCCTTGGTACAGGCGGAGACGAAACTATGGGCCATCGTTCAAACCACACCCCAGGATGTTTTTTTTGTACATCGTAGCGACATCACAATGCCAGTCTCGGTTGCGAACTCTGCTCCCCTGCAAAAAGTTAACAACTTTTAGTGGTTTAATTCGGAAAACCCATTACTTTGCAACAAGTTGAAGTCCTAACATCCCTTGGCAAAATGCACCAAAGTCACAATGCCATGATCTGATCATGCGAGGGAATTGCCTGGAATCCAAAGCCCAGGTGGCATCCCCAACAGCCCCGGAACCGCCAGGAAACCCCCCGCAACCCTCCCTGAAAGCTGCCTCAAATTACCCCGATCAACCCCTTTTAGGATCGGCTGGGTCCATTTTACTCCCTAAAAATCACGTCTTGGTGCGATAGGTAGGGAATGACCGAGTCAGGGTTTTGGGAAACCTGGGGTTGGAAAAAGGAGAACCAAATCGGATGGATGTTGATTTATGGTTTTTCTCGGGGTCCTTCCCCTTTCCATTCCGTGCCTACGCAAGTTTACCATCGGGCGTGCTAGATCCAAACTCTTCAAGGCTCATCGCCACCACATCCAGCCCGGCCTTTCCGCGCGCCTCTCGAAACGGCGCGTTTCGCCGAATTTTCCGGTTTGGGGCCATAAAGCCATGTGCATCAGGACGCAGAACATCAAACTTCTTCCGGCAGGTTTTCGGTATGCGGAACAATCTTTGAGGGTCGCAGCTCCATTTGTTGGGGTGTCCCTTTTGGAACAACCACACAAAGGGTAGCGACTCCACAAAAGATTGTACTGATACCAGCTTTGGAGACCCCAGACATGGGGTAAAGGAGGCTGTGGGTTGCGTTGAGGGAGACTAGCCAAAAGCATTTGTTGGAGTTGCCACCCTTTGTGGGGTTGTTCCAAAAGAAAACAAAAACATCCCAACAAATGGAGCTGGGAGGCTCAAAGATTGTTCGACGCCTTTTGAAAAGGAGTCGGGAACCTCTCATTATTCTGGAAAAAGCATTGTTGGAGTTGCTCACCTTTGTGTGGTTGGTCCCTTTTGGGGAGCTGGGACCCCCAAAGATTGTTCTGCAAAAAGATAGCAAAAAAAAAAAAAAAACAAAAAAAAAAAAACTACAATCTTTTCCCCAGCTGCAAGCCATGGGCTCGAGAGCTGCCCAAGTCGGCTCGCTCTGGGCAGCTTTCACTTCGGGTTCTGGAGATTCGGGTTCCGGGGGTTCCGGGGCTATACCAACTGGGAAATTACTTGAGGCAAACACTGCAATCTTGCTTGCTTTCAGCGGCGAATGAGGGAAGGGCCCCAAACCATCCCCAATGATTTCCTTCAAGGGAATCCCCAGGTTCATTCCCAAAACCCGGAAGGTCATTACTTGCTGCGCAAGTAATCCTTAACCCTGCAACGCCATGCTTTGCCTCTTTAGTCAAATTGGCGGCCTTCGAGCTTTCGAGCACAGTAGCCTTCGACGGGCTCGAACGGGAGGGGGCCATTATGTGACTTAAACCGGCGGTTGAATTTCCCAGGAAAATGTCGAGCAATGAAATGGGAATTTAAGTCTACTTTAAAATAGTCAAACAATGAAACCCTGAAAAACAAACAAAGGAGAAACCCGAGAAACCCCTGTGAATTCAAGTCAAACAATGAGATAAACAATGAAGCAGCCCAAAAAAACACATGTCTGGAACAGTGTGGCATGGGTGGTACTAAGAAACAACAGAGCACGAAATCGAGCCATCTTTGCGGGGAGATGGACCAATCTGAATTCTGAGAGGACTCAGAGAAATAAAAAGAACACAAACGAGAGTGCATATCAAAAATGACGAGAGATGGCACCAAAAAAACAAAACCAAAGGTTGTGAGAACCCCCAAAACATCCCAAAACATCCCAAAACATCCCAAAACATCCCAAAACATCCCAAAACATCCCAAAACATCCCAAAACATCCCAAAACATCCCAAAAACCCAACTTGCATCGGAGAAAACAAACGGCCTAACGAGTTGTTGTGTCTGACATTCGGCCGATGGGGAGCCCACTGGATAAGCGCCACCTCTGCCCGCGATACTCACCATCCCCACCCAAAAACCGAGTAACGAGGGGCTTCCGAGACGCAGCTTACATCGAAGTCAGCAGAGATGCCGGATTTTTGCGGGAAGACGGGAAAAACCGGAAAACGCCCCATGGTCCTTTTGTCCCAAGCCCCCCGAGTGGATGGCCGAACAACCAAGTAACTAACATATTAATTACAACCTAAAATTGCCCAAAGCCGAACAATGCTTTGAAGTCCGAAACGGAAATCAGGAAGTGAGAAAACCACCCCCCAATTAATCTTGATGATATTTTTCACAGTGTCCACTTTAAGGGACCCAGCTTGATGTTCCTCACTTTACAACGTCACCTTGCCTAGGTCCTCCAGCAGAGAGGTTAGAATAAGGGTACCAACTTTTGTCTGAATCGTCTATTTTAGTAGGGGAACCGAATCTCCCAACCCAAAAAGGGGCGAGAGGTCGGGCACTACTGGCTGGGGGACCTAGTTGCGAGCCCTTGTCGGGCCGCCATCGGTGTGACGCGCCAAGCCTCCGCCGTGGCGAGGCCCATCTCCAAGACGCACCAGGCGCGTTGAAAGGCGCCCGCCTGGAAACGAGTCACCGGCCAACCGAAAACGAAGCAGAAGCAAGGCTCCCACTCCAATTAAAGCCAGGTCCTTTCCACGATCTAACTACTGCAACCAGGCCCTTTCCACTATCTAACTGGGTATTTGGTACCATTCTCAAAGGGGTGTTGTATTGCACCCTGGGATTACACCCTTGGGAAATGGGTCCAAAATAACATGAATTCATCCCAGACATATGCCTAAATGAGGTCATTTCCCAGCCGGCGTAATCCCAGGGCGTAATACAAAAAGCCTTACACATTCCTACTGCAACCAGGTCCTTTCCCACTATCTAACTGGATCGTTGGTGGCGCGCCTGTGCCATCAAAGTGATTCCGAAATTCATGCCACTACGCTAACAAATAGGATGCTTCGGATTGTCCCTCTAACCTTCTACGCAGGTCAATATTGTGGCCCATGTTGTTTGCAAAGTGAATGGGAGGCACGGATAGCGCCAAGCCATTCCGAGATGAAGCTAAGGATGAAATCAAGCCATTGCAACAGCAAATCTTACTACACCAACGTGTCCATTTGGAAAAACAGATAGCGCTGGTAAATTATCAGAAGCAAACTGGAACCAGCGCCTCCCTTTCCCTAAAACGATCGGTGGCCGTCCACCGCCCGTTCAGTGAGATCATCTCTATAAGCTTGTTTTGCCAAACAAAGACAAGCGGACACCTGGCCCTTTCTTGTTCAAGAGCCAGGAACGCAAACACGCACACACACACACACATCTCAACCGCGTGGGCACCACCCCAAACAACCTAATCAACACTGCGACCTGTACCCAAACAGATGCAAGCAAACTCCTTGCGCATGGGGCAAACTGATGCGTTTCCATCATGTAATATGATCGCCCTACGCCGCCCTGCGGGCGGCGGCGGGTGACCACGCACAGACACGCAAACACACAAACACAAACACAAACATGCACACACACACACACAAACAGACACAGGCAGGCACGCACGCACGCACGCACGCACCCACACACACACACACACGCACGCACACACGCCCACAAACAGACCCACACACAAACGAGCACGCGCACGCAAGCACACGCACGTACACCACACGCACACCAGCACACGCGTGCACAAGCGCACGCGCAAGCCACACAACACAAACACACAAACACACAGACACACAGACACGCAGACAACACACAGACACACAGACACACAGACGCACAGACGCACAGACGCACAGACGCAGGCACGCGAACACGCACACGCACACGCACACGCACACACACACACACCCACACACACACCCACACA